ATATATATTTAGATCTTTTGAATATTAACTAAAAAATTTACTATAAGCTATATCACATGCACGTTACTGCTTAGTTTAAAAGTTTTGCAAATTCTGATATGAACTAACGGCCTGTCTTTAGTATGCTGTGATCGAATGTGAGCTGCTAAAGCCTGCAAAAAGCATTGAAAAATTGAGAGGAAAAAGATGTAAATGAATGAAGATGTAAATGAAGGTTGCATTAAATTTTTAAATTAAATTAAATTAAATTCATTAAATGATTCATCGCTCAGGTGAATTTTTAATTAAAATTCAATTTGAATCAGTAGAAAGTTTGCTTTAACCTATCCTTCATCAAAAATATTTTGTTTAAAAACTCTTCAATTTTTCCACGTACGTCTTATCTCGAAATTTTGCTTGCAACAAATTAAGAGGGAAATACGCATCTTCCGATTGCCGATCCTTAAAAAGTGATTAAAATTTAGGAAACATCCTAACCTTAGAACATTTGAAACCAGGATGGGTGCAACCTGGATAGGTGCAATTATATCTCCGATTCGTATGTACCATTATAAGATGACGTCGAAGGCCTCCTTGTCGGCCAAAACGTGAGCCACATTTATCACATATATGTGGCTTCTCTTGTCTGAAAAAAAATTACAGATTTTACCAGAAAAACGTTATTTATCAGTAGGTATGAAAGATATAACTGATTCTTTTCATCGATACAGAATTTCAGATCCATTTTTCCTCACTGAGATACTAAATAGACAATGTATATCAGAAAGAAGAACTAGGATGAGAGTTCTGAGTGAGAATAACAAGTTCAAGTGACAAATGATTTGAATATTACCAAGACTATATAAGGTGAACACTAGAGACGTGGCTCTAAGATTGAATGTTATGCCCAATGTATAAGATCAAAAAAAAGGAGAAAAGGTTGTCTTTTACATGGAAGAGTGATCCCTATTTTATGAGAGTCCTTCTGGAAGGCTTCCTAGAAATTCACCCAATGAAGCTTTAAAAGTAGACAAACGGAAACTAACAAATGCTGTATGGAAATATGTTCTTTTAATTGGGTATTGTTTGGGAAAATACGAGTGCATGTGGAACAGCGATGAATTTGTATATTGGGCAAGCGGAAATGTTCTCGTGCATTGTGTTGTCGAGCTGCTTCAACACTTCGATACACCTTCAATTTACAACCATTGGAGGTGTGAGGTCGAACAGTAGTGCCGTAAGTTCAATGGAAAAGAACCTCACAATAACTTCTCACTTCTCAATGGCTTCGAATTAAATTACTCATTTTTTGCCTTTCCTCAGGCCTTTTTATGTTCTTTTTCTTAAAATATCGACTTTATATTTCAGTTTCATTGTTATTTTGTTCTAAAATTCTCCAGATCATTTCTTAATTCAACTTCTATGTTGCATATTTCTCTTTGTGACTTGAAAAAATTATTCTTATACGTAGTGCTTACAAACTATATCAAATACACAGTACAACATCTAACAAAGATTTAGGAGGCTACAAAGTACTTTTCTCCGAATTCTATGTTTGCTGCTCATATAATAATATACATATAATTATATAATAATATAAATGAATGAATTACTTTCTGACAAGTAAGGCAAACATAACGTTTACCGCGATTGGTGGTGATCTGCTGATTACCAAGGTGATACGTAACGATGTGATATTGAACATTTTGTTTTAAAGTAAAACAACGACCGCATTCATCACAAACATAACGTTTATCACGAAAACGCTGATAGCGTTTTCGTGGGCCTTCGGGAGTATTCCAATCATCTCTTTTCACATATATTTCCTACAAGACTAAACATTCGGTTAAATCAGTCATTTCCTCATATTCTTATTCACTGTAATAAATATATTCTAATAAGAATACTTGTCAATGAGAGAGTAATGAGAAAATCATTTAGTATGATTTTATCTATTATTTTCCAAAGAGTAGAATATGGATTGAATGATGTTTTTATTTAGTGAATTTTCAAATGGATTATGAAATGTGTTGAAAAATCAAAAAAAGACTTGAATGCCATCAGTACTGTTGTATTGGTCAAAGAATTCTTGCCATTCTTCACTGTACGACTCCTGATACAAATTCTCCAAAATCTCACAAGCGGTTTCGATCTCCAAATCAAAATCTGCTTTATCGGTGTCTGATTCCGACAGCAGACTTTTGAAGTCGCACTTTTCTAAATGAAGGTAAGGTTAATTAATAAGTTTACAATTAGCAATAATAAACACTCTTCTCAACGTAATTTTTGCTTCTTTCTTAATTTTCTATCATTTCACATAATTGCGATTAAGGATAAATTGAAATCGCACTACTTTTTACTGGACTTTAAGACGACTATCAACAGACTTGAGAACAAATTTTTGAATTTTAAGGTAACATCCACTGAAATAGTACTCAAAATTCTGTGATAAATTAAGAAGACAGAGTAAGTAAGCGTCATATAAATCCAATAAACAAAGAAATATATTTTCTCTGTCAACTGATAGTGATTTCAGGAAAACCTTAGAGATGAAGTTGACCAGTAAAGGGAAATTTGCATACAAATTACAATTATTATAAGATATCAATCAACACAGAGAGAAACTGACAAATCATATGCAGAATTTTTCGATCAATTTCAGAATAATAGTTATCAAAGAAAGACTGGAAAATCTAATGTTTGCTGTAGGTCGGTCAGTTCCCGTTGTTTTTAGAAGTTTAAAAAAAATTGCAAATTGCGCAATGATAAAAGAAGGCAAGCATTTGACAAAACTTCTGATTGATTCTGTGTTCGATGATACTTTGAGGTTATTCTCAAATTTCATGTAATTCTAGATTTTACAGTACTAATTTTTCAATAAATAAGCTATCGCGGGTAGATATATTAATATATTTATAAAAGAAAGTCTAATGCATCACCTTATTATGATCACCGCTCTTCTAATATTGCGACTTTTTGTACTCTTCGCACAAGCGGAAAAGATTTTCAGTCTTGTTTCTTTTGTATTAATTTCTTCGAATAAAATGATAACGCAAACTAGGGAACGATCTTGTACAGTCACTGTCCGGGACAGAAGGTCTGAATCAAAGATTCCGTGGACTTTTACATTACTCTAACCTACTGAGATTCATTGCTAAAATGATTCTAGGTCTAAAATTTTTTTAACTTGAAAGAGATTTATCAGACTTCATTGTTATAAACCATTAATTGAAAACAGTCGAGCAAATATGGAAATTTTGGGAAGGTGTATCGAGGGAGGAAATTAGGAATACCTTTATCACAACATATACAGGTCGAATATTTTGGAAGATTCTCCGCTAACATAGGATCCTGAAAATCGTCACAGTCCTCCTCATGCTTCATTTTGAACAGTATTAATGGAAAAGTTAATAACTTCCATTTAAATTCAATTAAAATTTGCATGCAGAAATTGATTTTTGTTGCTATGAAATATATGATAAATTTGTATAATAAATATCAGAGGAATTTCAAAAAATTTTCTATGCTTTCATTTCAGATTCTTTTCCATTTATCAGCAATACATAATGGGTAATAAGTTAAATAATCAAACAATTAAGCTAGAAAGCAAAAGATTAATAATATCACCAAGAAACATAGCGGACATATACAGGTATCATTAGACTAAATTCATCAAGTTATGTTAAAAGTTAGAATGGCGATAGTTTCACTATCGGTAGAATGATAATAATTTAGAAGATATGATAATGGACGTTTCAGAAACATCGAGGTGAGTTAACTATTATTAGTTTGATCAAAATCAGAGGAAGATTACAAATTAAGTGCAAAATTAAAGGAACCCATAGATAATGTTCATGATCATGAAGGAAGAAAGTTGCAGAATATTCATCAAGCAATTAATCATCGTACCCTTTCACCTTTGTGCGTCAGCTTTATTTAACCTTCAATATTATTCACATGATGTGGAATAAGAGAGTAAAAAGCAAATGTCAGTTGATGGGACATATTAATCTCATTGGACCATTTCAAACACAATCATCCCTATTTTCTGTTAATCTCAATTCAATGATCCATAATTTTGCATAAAGTTATCATTGTTTCAATACTTGTAATGCTCGATACTTGGTTCGATTGCATGTGTGTACTTTTTTGGTCCTTTGTGTACGTATGTTTGATTAGTTGAGGTTATATCACTTTTTATCTGTCATTTTTTCTTCCTGCCAGGTCACCTGGAATTTGCTTTTTTAGTGCTTCAAATTACCGCAATTTTACCCATAAAAAGCACCCGTCCCATTTTCTGCAGACGTTTTATTGGCTAAATTGACGCTGTGCATTACAATAAGTACAATTGCTCTGGCGCCCAAGTTCGATATTTTTCTAAATTCACCGACTGAATATCAGTATTAGTACTTGACAGCACAATACAGCATCACTCTTCGAAGAAACAGTTCAATTTTAGAAAGAAAGTTCATTCTCGTAATTGTATTTCAAAAGCTTCTCTTTATAGGTTTTTCTGAAGTTGGCTTATGCTATGTTACTTGCTAAATCTTATGAAGAGATATTTGATGTGATGTGGTATGCTTCCCATCTGAAAATTTTTAATTTTAGATCGTGATTTGATTCGTGTTTTCACCTTATGCAGGTACAGCTGTAAAGCTGCAACTGTAGAGGTTCTTCAAAACGACGGGCGAAGAAGTGGATTTCAATACTGGAGGTGAGGAAGGTAGGTTGTTACTTTCCTTTTATACATTTTGAACTACAAGCAAATAAATAAAAAGGTCATATAAAAGATATGCTTATCAATATCTTCATATTGGTAATTTAACTTAAAACAGTGCAAGTTGTTAATACGAATTGTTGCGCACTGAAGATTCAATCCTATTGACCGTGTTCTTAATCTGTTAATATGTGACTGATTATCGAAAGGAGTGAGGAGAGATTATCTTGAAGCGGCATATAGGATTCATAAATTTTTTTATGTCTTATCCAAGTTCCAATTCTTTAATCCCAGTTGCACAAAGAGATTCACTATCAGCGCATAAAGTTGAATAATGAGAAAGTTTTAATGATGAAAGCTTACTGGATTTAGTCTTTTTAAGAAGGCTCTAGTGGCCGGGGTATGGCAGATATTGTTGGTCCACTGCGTCCATCAGATAGCTGGTCAACGACGGAAGTACGTTCATTACAGCATTCTCATGTTTGGACCATTCGCGGTTTTTCACAATGCGAATGTCGATATCTGGAAACGTCAGTTAAAATTAAAGAAACGGTTAGTGTTTGTGAAAGATATTTTTTTTCTAATAGCGCAAGAGGAATATACAATATTTTATGGGTTGAAGGAACGTGATAACCACATCAAAATGAAATATAAGTCTTTAAATTATCTTAACTTTACCTATGTATTGCTTACATACTCGTATAATTTCAGCCAGTTCCTACAAATACACTTGATGGAAACCACTTAACGTTTCGGATAAGACTGCATCCCCAAGGCAACAAAGAATCTAATAAAGATTTCAGCTTTTTCCAGGTTGGCGTAAACATAATCATGTTTCTCTTTTCCATGATTCTAATTCACTGTCCTACACAGCTACTATTGAACATGTCGTATATTATGTCCTATTGATTTGAAATGAAGCAATATTTCCTATAGTGGCTCTTGAAGCAATATTTCCTATAGTATCCGCCAATACTTGTTATCATAAGGTCTTAAGTTGGTTACGTATGCTGTGATAGAAGTCTTATCGTATTGTATTGTTTAGGTTTTCTGCAACACGAATTCAGCCAAATATCGCGCAAAATTTTCAGTATACAATGCAAAAAATGAAGAAGCTCCCACTACTGTTTACACTGGTACACAACAGGTAGAGTTCTTTTTGCTAACATTATGTGTAAGAGTATTCAACATTTTATTCAAAAATCAAGTTGTATGTTTTGAATTCCATTCTAAATCCGTCAATATCTGATTTTCTTTAATATAGCTAGCTGGGAGTAATAGATTTTTTTGCATTTCTCAGTTATGCTTCAATTTACTTCCAGCTACATGGATATTTCGAGTACATACGTCGCGATGTTTTAGTTAGCCACATACAGCCACAGGATGAATTGCAGCTTGTTTTAAGTCTTACCATCACTTTCGATACTGTCACTAAAAGTAGCCAGAATCCACGACAGTGCAGCATTCCAGATGCTCGTCCAGCAGAGGTTATTTAATTCTTGTTCCAAATTAAAATAAAAGTTCTCAATAACTCAGTAAATGGGAGATATTATGCTGAGTACAGTAATCCCTATTTCGTTAATCGTGTTGTTATGCTTTGGAAACCGTTGAACATTTTCAGTTCGATTAGGTCATAGAGCAAAATATACGGGCATTACAGATATTGCTCATTTTGTAGTATCATGGAAGGGTTATAATTACTTCTTCGACTATACTGCTTTCCAGATAGCACGCGACTTGGAAGCAATTTATAAGGAAGGACGTCTTGCCGATTTTACAATAGTTGCCAGTGGACGTGAATTGCCAGCTCATCAGATAATACTCTCAGCCCGTTCTCCAGTCTTTGCAGCGATGTTAGAGCCGCACACAGAGGAAGCTAAAAATAGTCGCGTTGTCTTTCCAGACATAGATTTTGAGGTTTAAAGTTTCTTACTTCACTTTTGTTTACAATACACCTCCGTCATTATTCCTCTTTGATCAACTCCTTGAATGGTCAAGTCATTTCTTGTTAACGACAGTGTCATGATCGTCGTTATTCTGTTCTTACTGGATGTTGGTTTTGGCCCTTTAATTCTTGATATTCATGTTTACCTCCGGAATTGAGTCGAATTTCTGTTCATTGATCAAATGAAATTTCTCAAGAATATACTGATTGTCAATTCCAATTGAATAAGCTTTCATAACTGGTAATATTCTTATAATCCCTTTCTTTTGTTCGCTATGATTGCATATTATTATTTCTTGCAATGACAGATTGGACCATTTGCTTATATTGAATTTGCAGGTAATGCAAGAGTTGCTGCTTTACATGTACACTGGTCGATCTCCAAATTTATCTAATATGGCCTTAGATCTTTTAGCAGCAGCGGATCGCTTCCAGCTTCCAGGTCTCAAAGAGATGGCTGATCAGGTTTCTTTTGAATAATTTTTCTTACTACGCACAGTTATATGAGTGCTGCTGTTGTAAACGAATGATGATAAGTAGTTAGCTTGTTAAAAAATTGATAAGCCGACGCAATATTTATATTGTATTGTTGCTTCATTAAAGCTCTGTTTAAGGTAAATAGGAGAAATTATAAATGTTACTCGAATTTAAATTTCTCAACTATTCTAAGTAATTTAATCAACTGGTAGCTGAAAATGGAGCTGTCATTTAATTATTAAATTACTCATAGTTTGAAAAATTTTAATTTGAGTAATGTGTTACTTGAATTTAACTGTTTGATGATTTTTGAGTAACTTTAAGGTACTTCGTACTGGACTGATAGTGGAATCTGCTTGTCGTTATTTGGTTTTCGCTGATATGCACAATGCACGGGAGTTGAAATCGGATGCCATCAAATTCATTGCACAGAACTCATCTTCCATTATCACTGTATGTTTCTGCTTCTGTGGGACCTGAGTTTATCGGCCTAGATGATAATCAACTGAATTTTAGTTCTTTTGATACTGGATTTTTTTTAGTTTTTCTAGCTATGTATTATGGATTAAATATCTTTATGTTCTATCAGATTCATATTTTTCATTAATTTTTCTTCGTCTATTTTTGTATAGAAGTTTTGTATAAATATATTTATACAACAGCAGCCAAAGAATATGATTATGAGAAAAATCAATATAACATTTAATAAAAGAATACTAAATGTTATATTGATTTTCTAATGAACAATCACTTCTGATCAGTTGCGTATCTAACTCCATCTTGTTCAAATTGTTGTTCTTCAGTTGCTTCGGTTTATTTGCATTCCATTTATTTTTATGAAAAGAATTTGAAGTACTCTTCTGGTTTGTATAGGAACGTTTTCTAATTATAGAAGGTTCTCACTTAACAGACTGTTACAGATAATCATAAAAAATTAATTTTATTAATATATTCAGACGGATGGTTGGACAGAGCTAGTAAAGGAGCATCCGACTCTAGTTACTGAAGTTGTTGCCGCAATATCTAGCAATGATCCTCGCTCACTGAGTGCCAGCAGCAGTCCAAGTATGTTTTTGTTTCCTTTGGAACTCTGATATCGAGGAAGAGGGTTCCATCTGAGCTGATACCAAAGTTCGGGGTTAATGTTCTTCAACAGAAAAGTTTGGAGATATTTTTAAAGATTTCTTTTTTGACAAAACAGTGATGGTAATGGCATTTATGTTTTCTATCATTATCCTGTTGGTAGGTTCCTTACAAATATTGACTGATGACCATTGCGAGGTTCGTTTCGAAGACTAATGTCAGAATTTCACCATGCTTGCCAAAACTGACAAGTTTCAAGTGGTCTTAATAAAATTTTCCTTATTATTTTACTTTTCATTTTAGGCTCATCATCGGAACCGGTGACGAAGCGAGCTCGCTTAAGTGGCGGCGTGTAGCATTTGTTGATGGATGATGGCTACTCTCTCATTTCGTTCCATTTTGTTCATTATAACCAACAGAACGAGTGCTTTTCATCTTTTAGAATTATTTTTCTGATCTAAATAATGTGACTTTATGATTCTTTCTATATAACCAATTTTCACTCTGATTTTTTTTCAAGATTTTCTTTGAATTTCGAAAAGTTTCTTCAAAATTTCTCTGCATTTTGTTCATTGATACGACTTCAAGTCATTCTAGGCATGTTTTGAATTTTTTATTGTAGTTGATATTGTTTCCTGATTTCATTTTGAAATATTTGCTCGGACATAAAAACATTTTTCAAATAATATTGACGAGAAAGAGCCGCAGTTTTTCATTCAGAATTACTGCGATCTGTTTCAGAGAAATGATTTTCATTTTAAAATTATTTTGAGAAAGTTATTTGACTCCAGTCAAATGCTTCTGATGCCCATTTGCTTGCAATTTTAATGCCAAGGTTTTAAAATTCTTCATTGCCCAGCCGTTCATTACAATATATCTTGCTACATTGGCGCTACTGTGTACCGAGCTTTTGCTCATTTACTAGCATTATTCGTTTCCCATAATCCACTTCTTCTAAAGTGTGGTTGTAAATTCAATGTTGGTTAATTTCTAGAAAAGTTACAAATTTTTGTTGATAGTTCGATGCATGATTGTATTTTATTAAATGATCAAGCAAGTTAAAGATAACTGTAAGATTTCTTCGTTACATTTTCTGTTTGAAATTTAAGCGATGCATCAGTTTTCGATTGTTTCAATTTTCAATTGTTACGATAACTGACGTTAAAGAAATAATTCACTGTTTCTCAATGAATTGCTGTAAGAAATTGTCGAAGCTCATCATTTTGTTTTTGTGATAAAAAAGATTTTTCTATGCACTAGTTGCATGTATCAAATTTATTCATTCTCATTCGGTTCTGATAATTTCTGTTGGTTCCACCCATTTATACAGAGCCGTAACATATACGATTGTGATGGACAGATATATGGGTGTATTTATATAGGTTAAGTGGTTAAATGATGGACAAAATGAAGGAGTCGTACTTTGTACTATGTTCTCAGTTCTTCACGAACGTTTTATAACCATGGCGCAGTTGAAAACCTGTAAATGATGTACTCTATCTCTCTCTCCGTATTTCACTTGAATATTGTTTTATTTGGTTCAGTCCACCATTCTGGCTGTGTTCTAGTGTTTGTTTTCGCAGTTGAGAAATTAAGACTTTTTTCAAAAATATCCAAAAGATTGAGAGTTTTAAAATATCGGTTGGAATTGCTTAATGAAATTTACCCTTTCATCTGCAATTTATAAACTTCTTGGTATAATCATCAGAGTTTAGTGATGACAATTGTAATACGATTAAACACCATCCAGCTGTTGAAATAGCTTTGACATAAACATTTTAACCAAAAAAAGGTTTGGTGTTTTCGTTATGCATTTTTAAAGCGTTAATATGTCAAAACTTTCACTATTTTTTGTCAATAGCTCTATAAAATACTAAAGCTATTCTAATTATTACTGAAACTTCCATGATTCTAGGATGTTAAGGGTGTTTGAATATGAAGTGTGAGTGCTTAAATATGAGGTGTGGTTTAATATTTCGCAGTCCCATTCAATAAAGCTAATTTTTAGCTTACGGAAATATTAATATTTTGTCTACTCTAATTAACAGATTTGCATTTCTTCCAGGTAGGCACGACTTATGATTGGCTTGCACCTTTTGCATTTAAAAAGTTTAAAAGTTTTTACTTCATCATATAATAATAATATGCGATAAAAGGCATTATTTCTTTGCAAATTTTGGTCGCAATGATATTTATGTGCTTTGGAGAGGTCACAGTGGCAAACGTGCTTATAATAATTTGTACTTTTTAGCAATAAATGTTAGTGTATATTCGTTGTGCGAAGTTTCCTGCATTGATTTCAGGACACAGGTGATTTTTTTTTAATATTGATTTTTGTTTTTTAAAAAGTGCTGAGTCATGTTTTGATTAATGAATCCTACAGGCTTATTTTGGAAAAAAGCTGTTATCGATTACTGACAAATAAAGCTAAATCGGTGATATCAACGACAGCCGCGCCTAAGGTTATAACTTACTCAATAAATTAAGGCTTATCAATTTATTAGATATGGGATAACTTTGTCAGACTTCGTCGGAAAAAGAAATCCGTTCTTGATATTCTAAATCATTTTTTAGTGGATGGGAGTATTGTTAAATTGTCTGTTAATTTTATATTTAAATGTTTTAGATTTCAACTTCTTTCGTCAAAAACATATTTCTGGGCAAAGGAGTTTTCGATCATGTAGTGCCATATCCAGCCGATTTATCCGATGAAAAACGGGAAATGATTCATTTGATTTTGGAGCCTACAAGAAAATTTATGGCGGAAGTTAATAATCCCGCGGAGTCTGTACTACTTTAATTACATCAAAAACATCGTTTGGACTTTTGACATGTTAATTCTGGGATGTGGTCGCTCGATCATATTGTCGGACTGATCTGATCTGAGGGACTACTTGTATTCTCTTCCTTTTTCGGTTTTCTTTTCTGGAATTACTTCGGGCATCACTGTTGAATGGCGGCAAAGCATATAGCCCAAGTTTCACTGGTAGTGCCTATATATCACTTCAATACTGTAATGATATACGCAAAGTGAGCTTTGTGAGACAATTTGCAATACGCTTATGTTCTAAAATTTTCTTTCAGAAATGATGAGAGGGAAGAAATCCCTATGGACATTCTCTCAAAATTTGCTGAAATCGGTGCATTTGGTGCCCTGGTACCGGAAGAATATAATGGTGCAGGTCTGAATAATACTCAATTGGCGTGTGTAGCAGAAGTTATTGGTGAATCAGACTTGTCACTAGCTGTCATCTTGGGTGCTCATCAAGTACGTTTTAAATTTGTATGTTATTAGTAGTATGTTTTAACATTAGAGTCTAAAATCGTATATTTATTTGCACCTTTGTATTTATAGGCGGTTAACTTTTTTCTTTATTTTTTCGTATTATTATTTTAAATTTTACAGAAGGAGGCTGTTAAATTTTCTGTTGAAACTATTAAAGGAGATAATAAGCTCAGTATCATAAATTAGATCAATTGTTTAACTGTTGTATAGATATTTACAGTCGATTGGTTACAAGGGAATTTTGCTTCACGGTACTGATGAACAGAAACGTAAATATTTACCAGATCTGGCTACGGGTCGGAAGTTCGCTGCTTTCTGTTTAACAGAATCAGGCATCGGATCCGACGCAAATGTGCTGTGTATAATTCTTTTCCTTCTGAATTAGCGTTTTTGTTGGGTGAAGTAATCGCTTGAGTTGTTGAGTTATATTGTTGTTAATGATGAAATTTTGGCACCACTAAAGTTTTATATTCAACTCTTAGATTTTTTCAAATATGTCCAAGTTGTTATTAATTCGCCAAATACAACTGAAATGGCTGCATTTTTTTTCATTAATTTTTATTTAATATTTGAAATTTTTTAGTCAATACAAACTCGTGCAGAGAAAAGTAGCGATGGAAAGTATTATGTTTTGAATGGTGGCAAACTATGGATCAGTAATGGTTCATTCGCTGATGTATTCACTGTTTTTGCACGGGTAGATAGCTTAGATTTTTCGAATTTTCTGTATTTTAGATATGGTGACGTTTGAAAGTATTTGACGGGTATAGAGGTTTTCGAGTTGACTATTTCAATTGCATGTTTAGACGCAGGTAAAAGATAAGGATGGAATACCAAAAAGCAAAGTATCGGCATTCATAGTTGAGCGCAGTCATGGTGGTGTTACAACGAGTGCCCCTGAAAGGAAAATGGGTATTAAAGGTTCGGAAACAGTTGAAGTACATTTTGATAACACGAAAGTTCCTGCTGAAAATTTACTTGGTGGTTCGTTTTTTCATTCTTTTAAAAACTTTCTAGGACCGTGTTCGTTATAATCATGTGGCTTTAATTTTGCTAATTTGCTAAAGCAAACAGTGAATTTCTGATCCGCAAATATTGTCTCAATTTTTTCAGTTGAAGGTGAAGGCTTTAAATTAGCTATGAACATCTTGAACAATGGCCGTTTTGGCATACCTGCTGCATGCAGCGGTTCCATGAAATTTTGTATTCAAAAAACGGTAATTTTATGGCAATTTTTTAAAAAGGAATCTCAATTTATATTTCTTTGTGAGGTTTTAGTTACTTTCTGCTATTTGTTCCCAAGTTCAAAACTTTCATTTAGATTGCTCATGTCTCAGAAAGAGTGCAGTTCGGGAGAAAACTGAAGGAGTTCGGAAATGTCCAAGAACAGTTAACTGATATGGTTCTTCGTCACTATGCCACTGAAGTAATTTTTCTATTTTATAGCAACAAATATTTTCAATTATGCGATATTTTCAATTTTAGTGTCTTAAAATCATAAATAATAAATTTACCAAAATTTCTAAAATGTCACGAAGCTTATTTAGAGTCTTTTGTATATGTTGTCAGGATCAATGGATAGAGGAATAGTAGATTATGAATTGGAAGCCGCTGTGGGAAAAATTATGGCTTCGGTGAGTTATGCTTTTATAAGTACTGATATCGCCTGCTGCATTACATTTCCAGTATTTCAAAAACTGAAATTTTAAACTTCGAATTTTGATTTGAGGAAAATGCTTGGGTTGTATGTGATCGTGCCATCCAACTTCATGGCGGCATGGGTTATATGAAAGAATGTGGCTTGGAAAGGGTGATGCGCGATTTAAGGATCTTTCGCATTTTCGAAGGTGCTAATGACGTTTTGCGCCTATTTGTCGCATTAACTGGATTACAGGTAATTTTTATATGTTATTGTGATATTCATCAATTATATTGACAGATAAAATATCATTTAGATTTGCAAATTTTTACGTGAAATAATGTTCTTTTGAATGAATTTTCAGTATGCAGGCAAGCACATGCAGTCCAAAATGGAGAAGCCCTGGTCTGGAAGCATTGGGCTACTTTTCGAATCCGTTTTTCCGCGGTTGTTTCTGTTACTTTTCAAATTTTTTTTCGAAATCTTGTTACTGTGTTTGAGATTTAGTACGAAATTTGAGTTGAAGTTTGATTCTCTGTTCCCTTCGAAAGATTTCAAAGCATTTTTGTGTCTTCTTCTTCACAATTTTTCACTACTTTTTTATTCAAAATTTTTTTCTTTATTTTTTTAGCCTTAAATAATGCTACATATATTTTATAGCAAGTTTGACTTCGAGTGCCATCCTAGCCTAAATTATTCTGTCGCTCAATTAAAGAAATCGGTGCATAGATTTGGGAATATATCAAGATTTCTTCTTTGGAAGCATAAAAAAGGGATAATTGGTAAGTATTAAACTGTAGTGATTGCAAAATATCAGAGTTTAGACAGGTATTTTTTGGATGGAAAATTCACAATTGCATAAATATTTGTGGGTTGCTATTCTTGAGAATCCAAATTTCGCATTTAAATTCGAGTTCAGTGACAAGGTTTCAAAAAAAGAAACTGAAAAGCAACAAAAACAAAGTGAAAAAACAATTGTGAGTTTTGTTTTTCAACAAAACAACGAGTCGAAAAAGGTAATCCTTAGATTCGTTCACATTCAATCGTTTCCGGCTGAATGGTGTTGTGATCGCAATTCAAACTCAAAATACGTGGGCTGATATTTTAATATTTTCTTAGTCAAAAAATCTCTGTTTATGAATGACCAATATTTTTTCTGGAGATTAATGTTTTAATGTTTTACCTTGATTAATGACTGTTAATAATCAATGTCATTTTTTAAGAAAGACAGTGGGAATTGATACGAATGGCGGATGCAGCAATTGATATTTATAGTGTAGTAGCGGTGTTGTCACGGTGTAACCGTGCTGCAAACCAACAGTCTTCTTTTGAATATGAACGAAAATTAGCCGAACTTTACACGCTTAAGGTTAGTCCTAGTAAAGCAGGTCTAAAAGTGCCGCAGAGAGTTCTTGTTTGTGAAAATTGTAGGATTAGTAATCATTATAGTAATGATTGAGAGTTGAACTGGTTTAGCTATCATAGGTAAAGGATTTATCTGATTATTCTGTCATCATGTATAAACTGAGAATTTAATAAAGAAATCATTCTTGAACATCATAATATACATGTTCCTCCATAGCTGTAATTAAGTTGAATTTAAATGTTTATTTATGAAAGAGATAATTTCTCTTATTCAACGATTTAAGCATGCCAGTTTTTCACGTCAATTTCTGTAATTTGTATAAGAAAATGAGACGATGTGTTTTAGGCTTGTGAACATGTTCGCGTCCTGTTGGAAGACATTTTAAAACAAGCTGAAGATGCAGATCGAATAAAGGCTGTTTCTGATGACATTTTCAGAGCAGGCTCATTGCCTTCATCGCATCCTACCGATTACTGAAATTTCCTTTCTAGCATATAATGTTCTTACGTATATAGGTCAAGACATTTATTAAACACTTAATGATATTAACTATAAAGTAGTCAAAAAGCAAGCATCCTGCCTTAATACATATTCGACACAAGTGGAGATGCTTGAAATTCTGATAACTATCCCCGAATAATATTAATTTTTTTTAGTTTACTTATCGAGTGAATGAAAATCTTGTCTGCTTCCATATTTATCAGTCGGCTTATTCACTTTTTCTTTTCTGCTTACAAAGGAAGTCAAAATTCCTAAACAAAAGTCAAAATTCCTAAACAAAATGTACAATTCTTAACCATATTTTGTCAGTTGTTTTTCATTCATTTCGATACTGTCGATTTGAAGGCTTACACTTATATGCAGAGTTCAAAGTTTAATTAATTTGACAGCAACGGTCGTAAGCGTTGTATCAAACTGCACTGTCGTTATCAATCAATTAAACATTTGTACTTTGGTCGTAACAAATAAATTGATGGCTTCGACTGTGATTCTTCTTCTTTTGTGTTTCATTTCATCTGTAAAACCTTTTGAAGATTATATGTGATTTTAAAAATAAACAACATTATTGCAAATAAGGCAAGTAAGCAACCTACTAATGATTAAATAATTTAAATGGTGTCTCTATGTTTGACAGTTATCTGTTAGTGTATATATTAATTGTGTGGCGAATATTATTTCCTTTATTTCGGAATATTATTTCCTGGCATTGCTTACAACTGTGACTGCACGATTGCCAAAGATTTTATTCTTTGTGGTTAACCATTTGTTTTAATAAATACAAGTAAAATTAAAAATATTGGACGAAATGATGCACTAAAATGTGACTTTTCTTTGAGACATCTCTCATTCGATAAATGCTAATTTATATGAAAGTAATATCAATGATGGGAAAAAATACCGCTTGAAACGAGAGATAGTGTCACGATCGGAGCGTTTGAGCGTTTTTAGCGATCTAAACTAGAGGTCAAGTTATCGTTTCCTTATAGTGATTGCAGGGCTAAGTTTCAAAGTGAGTATTTTTTGTTTTATCATCACTGGACAGAGCTATGGATCCGGAGAAAGCTCGAACTCATGGGCCAATTCAGTCCAACTTATTTCGATACAGTTTTCGTGATACGATCTTATATGCTCTAGCAGGTTGTTCACCCATTAATGTTGTACACATTGGAAAGTATTTGATATTTTTCTTAAAGTTATCATATCATAGATATGAGACGATGTCAAATCCTGTCATGCAATCTTTCCTTCTTTATCCTAACAAAGAAGTTTCATATGAGTATTATGCTTGTAATTGTAATTCGACCAATGACATTTTTCATTCAAACGGCCAATTTTTCATGTTTTTGATTGGGGACACATAGATAAACTTGTTAGTGAGACCACTGGTAGTTTTATTTATTCACCGGTTAATGCTCACTTAAACTATCAATTTTCAGTTGGAGCAAGTGTGGAAGACCAATTACAATACTTGTTCGAAAATCATGATGAATTTGCAGCACTGCCTACATATGTTATTGGTCCAGCATTGCAAGCAACCATGGCTGAAATCGGAGAATGGCCAGGTAAATTGTTTCCTATTTTTATTTTCATTTCTACGGTTAACTTATGAAAATTCAGCTTACTGATAAAGGTTTTACAATTTTCAAATGTTTTGATAGAAATTAGTTATTTATTTCATGTTAAAAAATTTCCAGTGGGCTGTATTGTGGAAATAATCCTTATTTGATTAAGGCGTAACGTTCGACTTAACAAAAATATTGCACGGAGAGCAATACTTGGAGCTGTTTAGTCGGGTACCAACGGAAGGTGAACTACGATCACTTGTAAGCATTCCGGCAGTGCTTGATAAAGGCAAAGGAGCAGTAATTCTTGTAGAAGGTGATTTTTTTTAATAAGTTATGTTATGAAATGGAAATAATAAAATCTTCTAAATCGTGAACTTTAGCTATAAAAGCATAAATGCTACATTTTAGTCTATTTTTTTCTTTCCAAAAATACTTTTTTGAAATCCTTAAAAGTTTGATTTCTTGAAATTTTGTAGTGAACTGTGCCAACTCTTTTGCAGTAACAACATATGATGAACGGACAAACAGTAAAATTGCAAAGCAACAAATCAGTCTGTTTCAACTTGGGTCAGGTGGATTTGGTGGTTCAAAAACGTCAGAACACGAAATACCATGCCAACCTATTCCACAACGTGACCCTGATCATGTTATCGAACAGGCAACTGATGTGTCTCAGGTCGATTGACTTTTTCTGCTTATTGTTCAAGTCAAAATATCTTGAATTTGAATTGAAAAATCTACTTTGATACTTTATTAAAGTGCTATTTTTTAAATAGAGCTGGTGAAGCTAGACATAATTCAATATATGATTTCAGCAAGTTTACAAAGTATATGTTTTTATTTCTTTGTAGTGTAGGAGCTAGATAAGTTGCTCATTGCCGCTTCAATTTTTATTGTTCCACGGCTGTGGCAGTTAACAGCATTTTGTCGTTTACGCTGTCATGTGTATGATTGCTTCTGAATCTTTCCAAATAGTAGGTGGTATGCTAGCATTTCTGTAGCATATTCTTTCAGGCAGTACTTTGGTGATTTTCCGAAGGACTCAGTTCTTCTAAACATTCGAAGGAAGAATTTTTGATAGAGATTTTCTTCTTTGTTTTACTGTAAATATTGTTGAAATACTTGTTACTTTAGGCGGCGTTCTATCGACTGGTTGGTTGTGATCCAAATCCACTGCATATCGACCCGCAATTTTCTGCTCTGTTAGGTTTTCAGAAGCCTATTTTACAAGGGCTTTGTACTCTCGGCTTCTGTACCAGGCATGTCTTAAAGGCATTTGCTGGCGGCAGTGACGAATATTTCAAACGTGTCAAGGTGTGTACTTTCTTCTTTTTTCGTAAAAATTTCCACTTATTGTTCAGCACTCGAAACAGTTCCCATTTATCGTTTAGCTCGAAGTAGTCTTACAAGATATGTTCTTTTTTCTTTTTTTTTCAAATTTCTCTGTGGATAAATCTTCTCGAATTATTATTCTGAACTTTCAGAAATAAGCTTTAAAATTAATTTAAAACATTTTAGACTCGCTTTGCGAGCCCTGTAATACCGGGACAAACACTGCGAACGGAAATGTGGAAGGAAGGACCAAGGATACATTTTCAAGCAAAGGTGTTGAATCATGCTTTTTCATTGTTCTTACCTCAAATAATTCATATTATTAGAAAACATTTTTGATACTTACTGTATTAATTAAATGAAATTCAGGGGAATAAAAGTCTCATAGTTTAGTATGGGTTTGATTTTTTGGTTACGATTCGATTCTTTTTAATTTTTGGCTAGAGCAGTAGAATATATTTTTAAAGTGTTAAATACTGTTAAATATATGTTACTGAAGATAAAAGAAACAGAGAAGATAGTGATAGCGAACGCGTTCATTGATCTGCACGAAGTGCCAGAAAGTGTAATTAGCAAGGTAAGTAAGTAAAAGGTGCGTCATTGTCATCTTGAAATTTTTGTCAGCATTAATCAATTTCAGTAAGATTTCATTTTGTTAAAGGCCTTCTGCAAAGTCACATGTTACTCAACGATAATTCAAGAGTAGATCGATACTTTTTCTTCCATAAATATCTTTTTTAGCAAATCTGATTTATCCATTATCCGTAGAATTTGGTTTTATTGGTTCAGGTATTTTACCTTAAAAAGTTTGTACTTATTTCTTTTAAAGATCATTTATTACCATCGTTATTCATTTCAGATATAATTACATCCAGTTTGGAACTCAGAAAACAGTTTTATTGCTATTTGTGATTTCATACATCTTCTGCAATATGGTAAGAAATAATCTCCATATCAGTCAACTGATCACTCGTTATCAGATTATTCGATATTTGATTGTTTGATTCTGTTCAAATTTAAGTTGATTTCAAAAAAATTGAATCATTCAGATATTATAAGACAATATTATATGGCAGAAAAAATTTTATGTTTTTCTAGCTATTCATTTAATTCATTCCGCTATTTTTCTTCCCATTATTGATTTGTCTTAACTTCTAATTATTCACCACTTGAAATAAAATATTATGTAAATGTTCAAACTTATTGAATATCCAGAATGAAATCAAAATCAACTCTTAGCATGAATAGCATCAGTCTCTTGGGCTCAACTTTTCAGATTTTTCAACCTAATTGAACACATGAAGAAATCAACTCAAACTTTAAAACATATGTTGTCGCTTTAATCATCCAGTTTTATTCGACGCGATAGTTTCGCAGCTGTCATGGGATTAGTTGTAGAAGGTCCTATTTGGTTTCATTTACTACGAGGTTGTTAGTGACATCAAATTTATTTGTAATTTTTTGCTCTGTCGTTTTAGAAAAAAAAGAGGGTAAGCTATTGAAATTTGATGTACATGAGGAAAAATTCGTTGTGTCGCTGCATATGTTGTTGATTTGATTCAGATGTTCATAACATATCTGCTTTCTGAGCTAACCTTTTTTAAAGATAGTTTGAATGAGTTCATCACTAAATGATTAATTATCTGCCAATAATAAATCTCTCTGTTCTTTTTCACTTTAAGTGAAGTAGAGGTTGTTGAGTTAGAATGTTGATTGATAACTCACTTGACCTGATTACACTCGATTGCCATTACTGTGGTGATTGATAAGGTCACTGGAGTGCAATGGCATCATCCTAGATGAAATCCTAACACACATTTGTAAAACTTTAATCCGCCTTTTAAAGAATCGTTATAAGAAGCAAACAATGTGTCTGACTGAAGTTTTTAAAATTTTGATTTTTTCCATCTTCAAGGACTTTTTTTCAACAAGTGCTTTACTGTTTTACTTAATAATTCGAGATGAAAGTAAAAGGAGTGATTACAGGTTAAATTTTTCTAACAACATAACCTCAAGAAGATAGCATGGAAATTTTCTCTCATATATTAATGACATCTGAGCATGAGGAATGATGAACAATGAATCGAAACCTACGATGTACTTTATCTGAGGATACTTCTTATTTTCACAATTTAAGGCCTAGCTGAGATATTTCCCTTAGAAGTGGTATATCTTTCAGAAAAAACGAATAACTTAAATCATAATTGACGTTATTCACTTCGCTTCTTCTTACATTGCTGTTGTTATTGTAAAACTAAATTCCATATAACTTATTTTGAAATAAATTTCGTGAACTTGCAAAAATGATCTATACTACTCTATTGTTTTATCTTGTTAATTTAATAAATAAATTTAACCAAGGATTAAACATGTGATATAATATCAAATCAATCAATGATGTTCTTTAAATAATACGTTAAAATATTGTTTACAAATGATCGATGATCGAAATGATAATAAATGAGTATGTAATGAATACAATTCTAAATTTTGTTTAATAAATAATGATATTTTAGTATATTTCGTTGAAATTTTTTACTAAACGATTGTTTTACTAGACGATTCCTTTGCATTATCCCACCGCTACTTCTACTATATTGTCAATATTAGAGATATTGATCGTTTTAACATACCCGATTGTTACAGTATCCATTCCGGAATTCATACAATCACTAAATATTATAATGATAGTATTTGAAAGAAAAAAAGCAATGATAATAATTATAAACAAATTGGAATGAAGTAAGATAAATTTACTTAATAATAAAAAGCTTTCTGTTATTTATTTCTATCTCCCTTAATTAAGTCTTGGCTACAGAACTGGAAAAGTATTCGGCCGTAATGAACAAGGTCAGATCTTCAATTCGGAATAATTCTAACTTACTTAATATTAATTTAATAAATTTAAGCAATCAAAGAAACTAATTACACCGAAACTAATTATGAGTAACAATAGGATGTAGATGATTTATGTGATTTAGAAGATAAGAATGAACGTGCCGATCTGATAAGGATGGATACAAAGAATGCAAATATAAATCCTTTCATGATTTCATTCGAAAGACTTCTTTTACTACGAAATCACTTAAGAAGAAGAGCTTATTTTCGTGATATTATCTTTCAAGAAATTAAAATTACATTTTAAAATAATATCATTCCTTAATAAAGCAAAGTTTAGCTTGAGAAGTGACCTTTTTTTTGAACAATTGCATAAAAAGATGATAAGTGGTTTATTTCGGAGTATATTTTCTTGATTTAATTGTCTTGCCACTTTCTAGAAAAAGGTCATACGTACTTACTGTCTGGTAAATGAACAATAAATCAACACTTTCAAAATTGAATTTGTCAAATCCATTTCTTTATAGCCTTAGGGGACTCACGAAGGTTGTCACTTCTTCTATATTGCATACTGAATTTGAGATATTTGCATTCAATTTTTTTTAATTGAAATTCTACACTAAAAAAATTCCACATATTAAAGTAAGTAAAACTTTATATGTGTAAGTTTGAGTATTGTTATTGAATAAATTAAAAAGCATAGCTTAAATTTATTTTTGATAAGAATGAATTTTAGTTTTCTTCTTTGTTTTTCATTTGTCTATTTATTTGATCTCTGTTGCATTTTTGCTTCCTATATGCAACAAATGAATTGATTAATTTAATCAATTTAAGCAATCAAAGACATTTATCATTTTAACGTAAGAAAGTTATAAGTGTGATATGGTCAGATCGTAATACATACCTTTGTAACGGTCATTCCTAACCCCTTAATGTTCTTTGCCACTTCAATTGTCACTTAAATATTCTTTCTTCATCTCAAAATTAGGACATCATGTGGGAATTTCAACGGTATGATCTAATTTAGATATAATTACACAACCATTTGCAAGGCATAATCTTACTAAGCATATTGCAGAAAAATGGACTCAAATATAAAATTCAACATTTAATTAGTCTAACACTTCACTGGTCATTATCGCATGGCAATTTATTGATGGTCACTGTCACTAATTACTAATTTATTGCATTTTTTCTCTATCGTTGGCAATAAAAAATATTAAAAGATAAAACGAATAAATAAATTTCGAAGAATTTTAAAATAGATCAAATAAATAAACATAGGAGAATGTTAATGAACAATTCAATGAAAAATATATTTTTTACGAAATTCTTCAAAAAAATTCATGATATAATAAATTAGGAAATTGAACAAATATTTTTCATGTTTTAATCAAAGTTAATAAGAAATGCAATTTCTTCATATAATTATTATATTAAAATTTTTTCAAGAATATTTTAAGTATGTATGTGAAAGAAGAAGTGGACGACGATCAACAGGGTCATTTCTTACTTGAATGCTTGGTATTTTTCGTCTGTTACCGCTAACAATCATTCTCTCTAATAACTTTGCAGGTGTGCAATATCTTTCATTTAATATTCTGAAGTTAAAATTGTGTTTTCATCAATTCCAGATTAATCATAATTGGAAGAGACAAGATATCTTTTATTCTAAAACATCACCCGAATGGATACTGTATCGATGTAATATCGCAGTTGTCAGCAAATTCGTTATTCATATGAATACTTGCCAGTAACATGCGGAAAGGGAACGACCGATGTACAAATATGTATATTATTATGTGTCATAAGGGCAGATTTTACAAATTTTAACGGTATTTTTTGATGGTAAACGTTACGGTAATTTGTGAAAATATATTGTAAAATTTTAAATTTACAACTAAGAGTCGTATTTTAGGAGAAATATCCATTTGATTGGTAAGTAACAATAATTTATATCGTTGAAAAAATTAATTTAAAATATCGAAACTTCCGGAGAAAAAGAAATGACGATAGGAAATTAAAATTTTGATCTAAGGATCTCTTAAAAGAAGTAAATAACTATTTTGAAATAAAAAAAAATAGTATAAACGAAGTTGGAAAATTCGATACCACAATATGCGTTACGAATACTGTAATGGAAAGTTTGAAATGAATAAAACGAGCTGTTGATTCATTTCATGAGAAGTATAATACCTTTTATCGTCACACCGGTTTTGCAAGTAAAATAGAGTTCTCATAAATTTGCAGTTTGAAAAAATTACTTCAATCGCAGACGTTACGAACATTTGTTTGCTTTGTTTCATGCCGCATCACTTGAAATAATTTTTAAAAACATCATATAAGCTGCAGGTATTTTCAAATTATAGTATTAAGCTATAAGCAAAGTTCCTTCTTAAAGCTTTTCAGAAAGATATCGGAAAGGATAATTATAAACTATAAATTGATAGTTTTTTACAACAGGTATTTTCAAACTAAATTATAATTAAACAATGAAAGTTGGAAATTAATGAATTATTTTGTCATTAGGTTCTTTTACAAAGAAAAAAATGACGAATTATTCGTAAGTTTATCGCAGAAAAATGATGTTTTTCCATCTTATTAAACTTAAGCTTGCTACAAATAAGTCATTCATACTATTTAATACCAATTTCGAACTTTATAGAATTGTCATCATTTGGAAATGAGTAGTGGTTCGAGCTCTCGACTGGCATCTATTAGTGGAGTCGAATCTTAATAAACATTTTCACT